CCAACAAAACCCCCATCACCTTTTCTTTCCATCAGTGTATATAACAGGCGAAACAGTCAGGTATGGGTCAGTTTCAAACAAAGCACTATGAAGACTGACGGACGGTAAAAGTAGATAGTTATCAAAGCATTCCTCGGGGGTCTGATGTAGAGCGAATCGTCCCACCGACCTTGAGACACACGTGATGTCGGCTGCCAGACAAAACGCGAACGAAAAACAGCACATGCCAGACGCTGCACAAGACAGCTGACACAAACAAAACCAACACTTTGCTTATGACTGGAACAAGCCAACAGCGCTGCAGATATTAAGACAATATGTTGTCTACCCTCTGAAAAGAAAAGAAAAATCGTGCTTCGAGTTATTCTTCACGACGAGCTAGTTGGTGCAAAACAAGTCGATGGGCGGAGCAAACCAACGGGGGGCAGGGCCGCGACCCTGCAACCACCTGGCGGGTCTATCTGCAAACTTGCCAGCAAGGAACTACAAGGCTGCAGGAACTACAGTTACAAGGAAAAAAGTTGAGTATTGTTTCCTGTCAAGCCCCTGACAACCCCCCCCCCCCCGGATGCACCTTAAGAGGAAAGAAAAACAGGGAAAGGCACTGAGCTGGATTTCTTTATTTGGTTCACTAGTCCTGACTTGGAGCTGCAGCTTCCAAAGTTTTCACATTATAATTCTACGCTGTACACATATCTATCTCCACAACAAGGAAGTAAAAAAGCCATGTAAACAAAACACAGTAACGGTGAGTCCTTTCCTACTCATAAACTTGCTACACATAGTAACCATCGCACGAGGGCAATTTACTGAAAACAGGCCCTGCTTTGCTCAGCTGATATCAGGATACTATAATTGTTTTGCGCCTCTTTTGATGTACATTTAGCAGACTGACATTAACCCAACTCAGATCCTTACAAACAGGACCAGTGATCTTCTTTCAGCTGTCCAGCCTGAAGAAGTGAGGATTTTTTCTAGTCTGGAAAATGTACTGGAAGATCCTCTGCTGAAAACCGCCTTGTATTTTAAAAAAAATGTGCACTATTGTGTCACTTTTGATATATTTACCGATGGCTCAGCCAGAAGACGCTCTGCTTTTCATTTTTATGAATTTTCTCCTGCTTGACCAACGTCAAGATGGTCTTAACTGGAGACCAGGCTGGCGGAGGTGGGTCCGTCACAGGCAAACCCGGCGTTGCATAAGCTCGCAAAATGCCCGGCG